TATAATTTGTATAATATTAAAGATATATTAATTTGCATACATAGAAAAGAAACTTATAATAAATATAATAAATATAACGAGTATGATACGCTATCTTTAAATACATTCTTTTTTGTGCCTTCGCCAATCTTCCTTTTGACAATTCTCGCTACAATAATACACTGATTTACACTTTTTGCATCTCATGCTACAATTTTTCATGCATATTTTACATACATTTTTAGTTGCACATATGTGTGGTTTTTTGGTCTGTTCTCCCTGAACTAACTTTTTACATGTAAGACATTTCCATGAATACGGCCATTTATTTCGAAAAATGAATTCGCGCCCATAAAAAAGTAGTACTTTCCTTGCATGTTCGATTTCTTCCTCTACTTCATCACAGGGGAGCGTTGTCATTTCCCAACAACAGGGACAAATTCCACTTATTTCTTGGTATTCACGTCGGCTAGGCTCATTTGGAAATTTTTGAGGCGACTCTCCACAAAGGACACATTTATTGAAACCGTTGATGGTATGGTCATAAGGCAAACCATTATCAGAAATATCCAAACGTCCGGACATCTTAAAGGAAGAATGTATAGTACAGTTGTTTTTTTTAGATCAACGCAACTAGCAAATATTTGTACATATGCTTTTGTGTAAGGAAAATAACGTGATTGATGCTATTGTTTCTATTATAGGCAATTTTAATAGTAACTATTATAGCTATTATTTTGTTTTCAAGTACGTACGTACCCACGGGCATAAAACTACGTAAAAAAATAAACTATATAATTTAATTGGTTATAAAACTATGTTATATGCTATCGCTATCTCCTGATTTTGTCAATTTATTAACTTAATAAAAAATTATTCAGATTACAATACTGTTGAACCCTCCCAAAATCGATCCTCTCAAAACCGATTACCTGTTAAATCTGATAAGAAATTTGTCTACCAAGTCCGTTTCCGTTATATAAATCTAATAGTGTATAATGCTTTCAAATCTGATAACCTCTCGATACTGATACATAATCTGTCCACCATGCATATCGGTTTGGAGAGGTTCAACAGTAGTTATGACTCAGTCAATACATATAAATTATATTTTTATTTTATTAAAATTCAATTATTATTATTATTATTATTATTATTATTATTATTAAATTATCGATTTTTTTTTAAATATCATTTTTTTTTTAAAAAAAAAACGTAGCGTTATTTTATTTTTCAAATTACTATTGTTTTATTTTAAATTATTCTATTTATTTGGATGCTTTCACTTTTTTTCTAACCTTTTTTAACAATTTTTTTTTATTAATGTTTAATCAATTTTTTTTAAATTATTATCGTTATTTTTTGAGTACATTTATATTACTCACTCAGGGTGATGCTTGATATTACGATATCATAAAATTTTACTAGGGTAACTCTAATGAAAAAAGTTCCTCTCGCAATTTTACCCTAACCCTAACTCTAACCCTGGGTTTCATTTTGTACTTAAGGGGGGTGAGTAACTCACCCAGGTGTTAAATAAATTATTTCCTATTATGATTATTATAATTACTATTTGATTACTATCACGATTAATAATAAAATAGTATTTTTAAAAACGCGAGAATGAAATTTTCGAGTAGATCGCACCAAAATGAAAACGCGGCGTTTTGAAGGTCTTTGGCCGCGGACTTCCAAGAACTTGCTAAAAACGAATTCAATTTACAGCTTATTACATTTACAAAAAATTCGTATCACGTACAAATAGGAAAAACAAGGGTGAAAACTTATAACGATGTTAATAATTAAATATGTAAAATTATAATATAACGATGTTAATAAAAAATGAACAGTGAGTTAACAATTCTGTCAAAACTTTTTGCCCCAAACCACCTTTTTTTTGTGTTGACTTATCAAAACTATTTAGAATCCTCTCAAACAGTAATTGAGCATTACTACAATTATTAGAAAAAATCACAGTAATAGTAATTCTCCAACGACAACTAAAATTACGTCATAATCCTTGTGCACTATTATCGTTATTCTTTTATTGTAATTTTATTGTAATCAATAGAATAACGATGTCCATTTAACATCCCTAGTTATCCAGTGTTTTGGATTTGACAAGACGCATTTTTATTGGCTAACATACACTCCTTACATTTCTACATTTGTTCAGTGAGAATTTTTTACTGAACACTAGAAAATTTAAAGTTTCGTTTAACAACTTTGTCAATGTCGGCCTCGGCTTCACCTCAAAAAAAACGAAGGCTTTCAACTTCGCCGGTTGATGGTAACCTGGCTTTCTGCTACATATAAAAACTCAGACTTAAGACAAATTAACATTTCGTTCTTGCAATTAGATCGCCGAGTTAACGTCAATGAATCCCCTAAAAAGGTTTGTTTCTTGAGTATTATTAAAAAAAGGAATTTTATAATATAATTATTTAATTGTTTACTATGTTACATAGGCTAAACAAGACAACTTTACTGGCCCAGGAGGTCCTTCGAATACGGTAAAATCAGAAACATTTTCACCAAAGATGCCAACCTCGTCTCCAGCTCAACAAGGCAAAACC